CAGAGATGTAGGCTCAGATTGAGCAAGACCACATTCAAACAAACATATCTGACTTTCTGTGGGTCCTAGCTAATAAGTGTCAATTAGAAAGTTGTCCGGCTCGAGGAGTACAATATACATACCAGTTTTTGTAACTCTAGTTAAAACTAACAACCCCACTTTTGTCAAAAGGTGGCGCTACTGAGCCCTCACCACGCCCGTTTCTGAAACTTTGCACATGTCTACTGGCTAATAAATGTGATGTGTCTGTCGAGTTTCATGCAATTTCAAGCATGCTAAGGGTCTCAAAAGCATCCTAAAAGAATGGTAACGTTTGATGCGTCGCCACGGCAACAGTTTCAAAGATATCAAGAATCCATTCACAGGTCTACATCTGCCGTATGTTTACATTATACAGATGACGTTTGAAGCAAATCGGGTAAAAATAAAAGGGTGATATCAAAGCATTTTGAAAGTGACACACTTCCTGCTGCCAGTTGGTGGCGCTATAACTTTGACTCACAATAGTCACATCCATGTGATCGTCCTCTTACAGCGAACACACTGCTGAAGTTTCATCAAGATCAGTTAATGTATGCTGAAGTTATAACACACTTCCTGGTTCACGTTTCTCGTCATGATTTCGTTTCCTCGCCACGGCCAAACTGTTCGAGATATCAAAAATCCCCTTGCAAACTTTCATCCTCAATGTCTTGACTTCATGCTGACCGAGTTTTGTCGAATTTGGATCAAAGCTCTAGGAGGAGTATTTAACATTCCATTGCGAGCGTTTTACAAACAAACCTCAATAGCCGACTTCCTGTTGGGCTGGGGTAAAAAGTAAAAGCGCGAGGTATAGATGAAACTATGAGATCAACATGTGCACCGAGTTTCATATAATTATATACAAACGTGTTTGAGTTATGGACCAAGTGTTCGGACCCCGTTCCAGGGGGCGCTGACGAGCCGCCCTGCCACGCCCGGGTACCAGCTTCAGCCCGGCTCTGATGGCCGCGGGTTCTGACCCATGTGCAAAGTTTCAAGAGTTTTCGAGCACGTTAAGGGCCCCCAAAATGCCCAAAAGGTTACAAAATAATAATAATAAATAATCCTTAGGAAAACAATAGGGCCTTCGCCCTTTCAGGGCTTGGGCCCTAATTATAATAATAATAATAATACTAAAGAAAAATAATCCCAAGGAAAACAATAGGGCCTTCGCCCTTTCAGGGCTTGGGCCCTAATAACCCTAACAGTTTCAATAGGGTCCTCGCACTGTTAGTGCTCGGGCCCTAAAAAAAAATAACCCTAACAGTTTCAAGAGGGTCCTCGCACTGTTAGTGCTCGGGCCCTAATAACCCTAACAGTTACAATAGGGTCCTCGCACTGTTAGTGCTCGGGCCCTAATAACCCTAACAGTTTCAAGAGGGTCCTCGCACTGTTAGTAGGGGTGTGCAAAAAAATCGATTCACATTTGAATCGCGATTCAATCTTTACCGATTCAGAATCGATTCATAGAATTCCAAAAATCGATTCATATATATAAGCTAAATATTTTTTAATGTCGTGCAGGGGCGGAGTGGCAATCGGGTGAGTCGGGACTTTTACCGGTGGTCCGGTAGTGTTTCTATGGTTTCGAGGCTGCGAGGGCCGGTCTGATAAATAGTTATTGCAAGTTCTTGCCGCCCGCTGGTCAAACTGTGCAGCCACTCTGCTCAACCCGTAAATAAATGCATCGATCCGCAGATCTTATGTTTGAGTTCTGTAGATCTTTTGCCAAGCGTGTCAGAGGTTACGGGCTCTAAACCGCACTCGTATAGTTTTTTCTCTCTCTCATCAAAACCGAATATGTTCATCACGTTTGTGTGCATTTTATTTTGTGATTTCACCGGAGTCTCCACAACGGCGATAGATTGAAGCGCGCGTCCGAGAGAAGACTGCGCGAGCCACAGAGAACCATAGACAGTAAAAGAGAACACTGTATCCATGACACTGATCGCAGCGGACACGAGCGCTCAGCTTGATTTCAAAAACAACAGGTCTCTTATTTAATAGCGAACTAAATGAATGCTCTGCTAGTTAACTGGAGATACCCGCAAATTACGCGACTATGAACGACTTCACTGGATCTAAACAAATCAATCTAACCATAGATGTTACCAGTAGCGGTGGCTTTTTAAAATCTATTTAAAATATTTTCGCAAGGGTTCTATGAAATTAGTATATATTTTTAGGAAGTTCAATGTGCCCAGTCGAGTTCACATTTCAACAGTCAACCTGGTAGCTGAAGTAGGCTCCTTAAACCACATTTAGCATAATTGTTTGTTTGATCTGACTACAGCACTTTAAAGCTAAATGTAAAAGCTTTTTATTTAAGTTTTATTTTAAACTTGAATTAAATGTATTTAAAAGCTGGCCAAAGCTTGGCACTAAGCACTTTTTAGTTGCAAAAGTTTTTATTTTTGAATGAAGACATATAAAGTAATATCAAACTTTTCTTTTAAATTATGTCTACTGCAATCAATCACATAGGAAAAAGTAAACTACATGTATATAGACCTGCGAATCATTTTTTGAATCGAGAATCATTTTTGAATCGAAAATCGATTTTGAATCGAATCTTGAGACAAAAAATCGGTATCGAATCGTGACATTTTCTGAATCGTGCACCCCTAACTGTTAGTGCTCGGGCCCTAATGATGAAGTCTTAGCCTACTTACAGATTGTGGCCCAACAAATGCTGCCTCTTGTTTTAAAGTCGGAACTGCTTCATGTTTTAGTAACAGTTTCTTGTTGAATCTGGTTCTGAACTTGTGGAGATTCTGGAAGCTGTCTTCCCTAAAATGCGAAGCACAGAGAGCTAGATTACGATCGTCATTTTCAGGAACATAATCAAACATAAATTGTATCCATTGTTGAGGAAGTACAGCGTCCATGGGAAGCCCGGACACAGAAGACCTGACAGCTGCGTGAACAACACACTCGACGAGTCGACGTGCCTCAGAAATATGCGCATGCCATTTTCTGCATATTCTGAGGGAGGGGTTGATGCAAATGTGTGGGTTAGTGACGTACCATAACCCAGCTGTAGTCCCAATCGAGTCGTTTTTGTAGGCAATATACTTCCTGATTTTTAAAAGACGATATCTCTGCTTACACTGAACTTTCAGCTCTGCAACTTTGCAGATACTGTTCATACACCAACAATTACACACTATTACACGCAACATTACACACTATTTAAAATGAAAAAAGTGAAATCGCAGTCAACCCCCCCCCCCCTTAATTTCTTTTCGACTGAAGAAAGAAAGACATGGACATCTTGGATGACATGGGTGTTAGTAAATTATCAGCAAATGTTTTTTTTTTTTTTTTTTTAAAGTGAACTACTCGTTTAATCTCATTATTACCGCTCTGACCAAAGTATTCATGTGCTCGGTTCTACACGGATGCCATGTGTTGTTCCAACAACTTGATGAACGAACTCAGTGACATTATTGTGAATTTTTCTCTTCTCTAAATCGACCAGCTCTGTCAACAACTCGTTGCACAGTCTCTGCTCTGAATTTTCATTCAGACAGCACAAAGAACACAACAGCAGTGTGGGCAAACCCGGCATTGCGATGTTCATCACAGTGCCGAATAATATCCAGTATGTCTATAAAATATATATTTTAAATTTGATATGAGTAGATTAAACAATGCAGTAACATGAATACTGTATGCCTATCTGAGTGTGGTATAACCATACGTAATGGTGAATAATCAGCATAATGAAAATTGCATGTAACCAGAGTGAAGAATTACTTAGAATCTTAGTGGGTTAAGGGTTAGTTCACCCAAAAATGTAAATTATGTCATTAATTACTCATCCTCATGTCGTTGCAAACCCATAAGACCTTCGTCTCAAAAATTAATTTGATGAAATCTGAGAGCTTTCTGATCCTCCATTGACAGCAACGTCATTGCAACTTTCAAGGCCCAGAAAGGTGGTAAAAACATTATTAAAAAAGTCTAAAGTAGTGACTAAATTAGTTGAGATGAGAATACTTTTTGTGGGAAAAAAACTAAAATAACGACTTCAACAATCTCTTCTCTTCCATGTCATTCTCATATCCTGTTTATTAGTGTCTTACTAATACCACAATTTTCAAGGTTAAAATAAAATACAAATCCAAAAATTAACCAAGAATAAACAACCAAACAAACAAACAGACAGACAGACTGCTACTATCATGCTACTGCTGCGCAATCTCTGATTTGGCTGTTAAGTGTTTCACAAGTACATTTAGGCCAAAATAAATCCTCCAGCTCAAGCCAAAGAAGATGCATAATGAATCTCTTATTTATACCATGTCTGTAATTATGATTCATGAGCATGCAGGACTTGGCACTAAACAAAAACTTAAACACTACTGATTGCCATTGCATTCAAGAGATCAACAGACATTTCTGTAATTGGCTACATTACTCAACGCTGCAAAAACACGCTCCAAAGAAACCTTTGACGTTCTGTAGAGCACAGACACAGATACGCACAGAAGAGATTGTTCCTCTGTATCGCCAATATGCTGTTATTATAGTTCAAACTGAGGGTGCTCTTGCATTCATTCGAGGGTGTTTAGCACCTGTAGAATGAGGCCTGTGTTCATTCCTCTATTATGTAGCCCCGCCCCTTTTCAGCGCTGTGATCGTTGTCTTTTGTCTTCCGGACTGTATTTTCACAGCGATCTTGCCTATTTATGAATTAACGGCTCGTTTCAAAATCTTCCCAGTCTACTGAGAGTTGTTAAGACATCTGCTTTAAACATTACAATCCTCGTGATAACTTTTGTTAACTTTAAATTAAGTAAATCCACTACAAAAGCTAATTATTCCTGGACAGCAATGCCATAGAGACAGAGCGACTGCAAAAACGGAAGTTCAAAGATAATATTCTAAAGATGGTGATGCCCTTGTTTCTCTGGTGCATAAGGTCTACATTGGTATCACAGGACTAAATGTTATCTCTATCTCTTTTTCAGGTGCGTGTAAATGTTGTTCAGAATAACCTGGCTTTGCTGATATACTTGATGAGGATGGTGAAGGCTTTAATGGACAATCCCACACTATATTTGGAGAAATATGTGAGTTATTCACACACTACATACTAACAATAACATACACATATTTACTTCCCTTATTAAAAGTTAATTTTTTAAAGGGGTCATTTAGTTTTTTTAACAAATCCCTGCCTTTAGAATTAAAGGGGTGATGAACTGAGAAATCAAATTTTCCTTGAGCTTTTGACATCTAAGAGGTCATCATATTATAAGTATATCCTGTAAGTTTCGGAACTGAAAATGTCCTTGTTAGTCCAATAAAAGCTTTTATTGACACCAGGCTCAGCAAACGACTCGTTTTTCAAAGTGGGGAACTATGACGTCAAAGAGGATAAAACACCACCCGTGTGAGTAGTGAGAAGAAGATCAACACGTAGTTGAACACCAACACTAAATGCGGTTTAGCCCTGCCCACCGATTCGCGCATTACACGTATAGCTAAATAACATAGATGCCTACCTCGTGATGACAAACCGGATCGAGTTACTGAGTAGTACAAAATATTGTGCAGTGCCTGGTTGTGGAAGAAGACAGTCGCTGCATATGCTTCCTCTGGATTCCAATAGGAAATTAGCATGCACTATTTTTAATAATATTCCAGCTGATAAGGGTAAAACATTGTCCATCTGTTCGTTTCATTTCACTGAGGATTGTTTTGTAAACAAGACTGGATTTGCAGACCGATTAAGATTAAGAACGGTGCTGTGCCGACTATATTGGATCTGACAGGAATGGTTCAACACACGGACTCTGGGTCAAACATGTGGGCAAATCATTCCGATTGCCATTTTACAACATTGGAACTTTTCAAAAATATTTCCCCCTTGTGCACCGATGAGGTGAATTGAAACTCATTATAATATGCAAAACTGTTATCCACTCACAGCAGTGAGCGTTTACTTCCAAGTCTTCAGTGCGAGACGCCCATAAAAACAGAGCGTTTTTTAGCTAGGCTCAAAACTAGGGTAGAAAATGGCCTATTACTTAATTATTTTGATGTTTTTGATAGCAAAAAACAAGCAAACGTCATAAGTTGACCTCAGACAACAATATAATACAATTTAAAAAGCCAGTTCATGACCCCTTAAAGACCCTTGATTTGTTTTGCTGCTATACCTTTAAGGCTTCCATGTAAACATGTTTTATGATTGGTTGACTTCTTTGGATTTAAAATAATGTTATTTTTGGACTAGTTTTTAAACTTACTGTATGCTTTCATAGTTTCACCTGTTTTATCTAAAAAATTCAAGGCAAATTATTTTTGGCTATTTTTCTTAAAGTCGGCATGAAATCAAATTTGACAAATCTTTTTTTATGTAATTGTAGTGTTTATTATAAATGATTTATCTGTGCACTTCATTATTTTTTTCATGTTCATGTACCCTTATAATCTTTAATGAAATACATTACCCTTCCCTCCCCCCTTCGAAACGACCTCTCTTCTCTTTCGGTCACGTGCCATGGCGAAATGTGACTGCTTTAATAGAAAGTTTTGTTTTCTGCTGTCTTTCAGCTCCATGAATTGATCCCAGCAGTGGTGACGTGTATTGTCAGTAAGCAGTTATGTTTGAGGCCTGATGTGGACAATCACTGGGCTTTGCGAGACTTTGCTGCTCGGTTGATGGCTCAGAGCTGCAAGACGTTCAGCACAACCACCAACAACATCCAGTCTCGTATCACCAAGACCTTTACTAAGGTAGTAGAACCTGTGTGTGTGTATGCTCACATTGTGGCTGGTGTGTTTACAAACTATTATTAGTTTTAACCAGGGCTGGGTATTGACACAAATTTCACAATTTCGATTCACAAGCTTGCAATTCGATTTGATTTCGATTCGATGCAATATTGATTATTTTGGATATCAGGTACAATACATGGCAAATTTTCTCAAAGAAAACAAATCTCTTAACTAATGCTGTAAACTATGGGAGTCAGTTGTAGCCTACTATGCTTCATTAGCCTACTATAATGTTGGTAATTATATACTGATTCGTATACAAACACTTAAATTACTTTTATTTATTTTTATAATAATAAAGTTACATGAAATATAAACATTTAAATGGTGGCTATCATAAAAACTTGCCAGATTTATTCAAACATGCATTAAATATTGAAGAACATTAAAAATTATAATCAATATGTATTATGGTGCATATATTTAGCAAAATGCTCCACTATAGTTAATTTTTCTAGCTGACTAACGAGTTTATGGTCACTGGATATGGTTTTTCTGAGGTAAATGTGACGTTACTAGACATTGTTTACAAGTTGTTTTACTGACGTCTTTCCACGGTTGAAACACTGATGGCGATTCCATGTGACATGATACGGACTTCCGATAAAAGTCAGAGACTTCGTTTTATATCAATAGTAACAAAGCAAAAAGATTACTGCTCTTTATTGGATAGGATGAGCGCTACAATTTTCCATTCATTCTTGGGTTTTAAGAATCGATATCGGTTCGTAAAAATGAGAATCGATTAAAATCTAGAAATTGATTTTTTTTTTTTAAACAGCTCTAGTTTTAACCAATTGAAACAAATACACCTGACAAGCAAAAACACAGAAATTAGTCTAAGAAGCTTAAAGTGTCCATCATTTTTATATGACTTTCTCTAATTGTCAGGCATTGTTAGATGATAGGACTCAGTGGACGACTCGTTATGGCTGCATTGCTGGACTTGCTGAACTTGGGCATGACGTGAGTTTTCTTCATTCACTATCTACTATAACAATATTTAATGCTTTGGAAGCACATTTATACTTAAAGGTGCTATATGTAACTTTTCCTCTAAAATGTATCCTTTTTTTATTGCCTGTGTGTGAAGCGGTTGTAATCACACATTACAATGATCCAGTTGTTGGGTTTTGCTATTACATCTGAAGGCCAGTATTCCTATTTCTATGTGAAGTCTCCGGGTCGGATTTTCTGCGAAATCCCTCGGATGTGACGTGCATCCGAGTCTCCTCCTTTTTATATACAAAAATATGGCGAAACACAGAAGTAAAGCAGCGCCGCCATTACTGCGTGCCTTGCTGCTAAGTAGCGTTGGTCCCGTAGGCGGCTGTAGCAGATGTTAGCATACCTGCCAACATGTACGCATTTTGCGTAGTGGGCACGCATTTTGACCTCAAAGTACGCTGATACGATTTGTCACTCTAAACTACGCAAAAACCTGGTGACGCCTATTTGCACGCGCAGTCCTCAAATAAAGCAACAACAAGAGAAGAGTTCGACCATTCATAGCGCTGGGTTCATTCCCCAAATTGCAAGCGGAGATGATTGACAGATGTGTAAGTCCTATAATTAAAAAGAGACTGAAAATCAACACCAATAAAGAATCCCGCTCGATCCCGCTTCCACTCGCACGCGCCCCGGGTCTGACTGATTTAAGCGAGGACAGTAGGCTACGGTACTTACAGTAGTCACGGTACTTCTGAAGGTAAACGGGCTGGGTTGGATGTGGAAAGTTGAAATTGAATTTGAGTTCATTTAAAATTGATTGGTTATCACACGGGACGGGATCACAAGGATTATTTAAAAAATACTCCGTAATTCATTCATCGTAACTCCGATAAGAGGAAGACATTCAGCCATGCAAATTACAAAATGCTCAAATGTTAAACATTAACGTTAAATCTAAATAAAATTGAAATCGCTATGTCTTAGTGATTATGAAAGTGCTGTGGTTTGTTGATGACTGATAACGTAAAGCACGAATCTGCAGAAACAGGCGTTTATTTTTTTTTATTCTCAGTGTGTTCGAAACATAGCCTGCATGTGTTACGTTATTATGTTAATAACCAAAGTACAGAATTATGTTACGTATTTATTTTGTATGAAAACTAGAGTTAGTTGGCGTACTTTTGGATTGAAAATGACTGTTGTATGATCTCATGTATCAGTGCTGCGTGAGCTCTCTCACAAACAGACTCGCGCACACACAAGAAAAGATATTTATTAATTGACAGGCAAAGTTCTTGCTTGTGTTTTCTTTGTCAAAATGTTAAAGCTTTTTGTCTTGTCTATTCGTGTTTTTACAAATCGTTAAGCAACTTTCCCTGTAGGATTTAATATCATATTTGGATATTGGAATAATTAATTAAATAGCCAATTTAAAATAAATAACATGTACACAACTGTTGTTGTTGTTTTTTGTTGTTGTTGTTGTTGTTGTTTTTTTTTACTGGTATCTAGGTTGTTTTTTTAATTATTTTAGACTAATTGACCGGCGCAGATTATATGCAATACAATATTAATCAATCATGAATAAAGAATTGGAGTTGAGCAGGATTGAAATGTTGTACTTTCACTGTTGCATTGCAGTGCAAGTTAAATTTAGTATTTGTGTCAAATAAAAAAACCTTTAGTATTTTTATAGAATTATGCAGATAGACATGTGTCTGTGTGTGAAAATATATGACACCTCCATTCAGGCTCCCATCAACCCACTTTGTCTGACCCCCTTTCGCTTTCAGAAGTGCCTTAATTCTATGTGGCATTGATTCAACAAGGTGCTGAAAGCATTCTTTAGAAATGTTGGCTCATATTGATAGGATATGATATGATATATACTTTATTGTCCCCGAAGGGAAATTTGTTTTGGACACTGTCCATTCCGTAGCTTTAAAAGACAGCAAAAAATACAATTCACAACAAAAAAAAAACACACAACAGATATTACACACTCTTCATATGGCCTGAAATACACAGCTTACATATTGCATACTCCATAGCACACAACAGAAAACACACAACAGATATTGCACACTCTCCATATGGCCTGAATTACACAGCTTACATATTGCATACTCCATAGCACACATAAAAAAAAATTACAATTAACATATTGCGCTCTCCCTTAGGCTCATAAAATACGCACACTCTCTATATTGCACACTCTCTATATGGCCTAAAAAATACACAGCTTACATATTGCATACTCCATAGCACACATACAAATTACAATTAACATATTGCACTCTCCCTTAGGCTCATAAAATACGCACACTCTCTATATTGCACACTCTCTATATGGCCTAAAAAAACACAGCTTATATAATGCATACTCCATAGCACACATACAAATTACAATTAACATATTGCACTCTCCCTTGCACACCGTGTCCTAACTACACACGCCGCGATAAAATTCCAGCGACAGCAAGTGTGTCTGTCCACACTAGACGCGACGCGACTGTGAGATGCCACACATTCAGAACAGCGTGTGAGCCAATAGTGTGAGCAGAGTCTCTCTGTGAAAGCGCACTATTGGCCCGCACTCGCATTGGAAATGGGTAAGGACATAATCAAATCAAGAAATAACATTATTAAAAATCAAAACATTAACAAAATATTCTCATTGACTAATTTTGTTATGAAGTACAGTTGTATGTTTGCATAGAATTAATTTTGAACGCTATATTACATGCTTTCAAAATTTGAGGTAAATTATCCGTTATCGCTTGTGGCACAGTGACCTATTTTTAACTAAAAATAAATAATGTATACTCATAACCAGTGTAATTTCTTCATTCTGTCAGCCGCGACGTCGCAGAAATAGGAACCGTTTCTAAATTAGAAACTTCGCATGTCGCTGTCGCGTCTGGTTAGGACAAAAACTCTGATTAACATGGAAAAGATACCTGTTATCGCGTGTTGCGGCGTCGCGTGTAGTTAGGACACGGTGTTAGGCTCATAAAAAATACGTAGTTGGCATACTACGCACCTTATAGTACTGTATTGCACAATCTATCTGGCCTGCAGAATACACAATTAACATATTGCACATATTGTAGAATACACAATTAATATATTGCACCTTCTCCATGGCCTGCAAATCATCCAAATGACCTATAACACACAACTCAACAACCAACATATTGCACACACCCTCAAAACACTACAGTACATGTTCGAGTTAATAAGCTTAATGGACATAGGTACAAAAGAGTTTTTATAACGGTTTAACCTACATTTAGGAACTCTGAATCTTCTGCCAAAGTGTAAGAGCTGAAATTCTGGGTGGAGGATGTGGGTCGGGTCAGAAACTATTTTTTGTGCCTGTCTGATGACCGACTGCTCATAGATTTTCTGGGTGGGCAGATAGTTTTTGACCACCATAATCTTCATAGCTATTTTTATTTGGCTAGCGATCTGTGATTTTGATTGTACTGTCAGGTTCCCATACCAGCTTGTAATACCGTACTTAAAAATGCTCTCTAGTATTGCATGATAAAACAACAACATACATTTTTGTTCTACTCCATACAATCTAAGTCTCCGTAAAAAATGCATCCTCTGCTGGAGTCTTGAGCAGACAGTGTTTATATGGTCCTTCCAGGTCTGTGCATTATCAATATGTACAGTAATGGGTACACTGTTAATTACTACAGGCCTAATTTCACCTATAGCTTTTGGGTCAAACACCATCTCCTCAGTCTTAGTTACGTTTAGCATAAGATAGTTGTCATCGCACCACCGAACAAATTCCTCGATTTCTGTATAATACGCGGCTGGAGTTTTATCTTTATGCATGAGGCCCAGGATTGCTGTGTCATCAGAGAATTTAATAATATAATTGTCAGTATGGTGTCGGAGGCAATCGTTCGTATATAGTGTAAAAAGGGCCGGTGAACTGACATAGCCTTGCGGGACACCAGTGCTGATCGGCCTTGGCTCCTTAAGAGCATTATTCACTATTAAAGGGTTAGTTCACCCAAAAATGAAAATTAAGTCATTAATTACTCACCCCCATGCTGTACCAACCCCGTAAGACCTTCGTTCGTCTTCGGAACACAAATGAAGATATTTTTGATTAAATTTGAGAGCTGTATAACTACCACATTGGCTCCTAAGGGACTGCCTCTTGACGGCCCAGAAAGTCAATGAAGAAAATGTTTAAATATCCCAAGTGACTACCGTGGCTCAACTATATGTTTATCAAGCGACGCGAATACTTTTTGTGCGAAAAAACAAACAAAAAATATAGCTGCGAGCAGCGATTGCGGGCCCAAGCCGGTGGCAAGTTAGTTACCCAAAGGCACCGGGATGGTGGTACCGCCGGCTTTGGCCCTTTATCGCTGCTCACAGCTATGTTTATATTTAATATAAAGCCGGTGGCATCGCCACCTTGGTGCCTTTAGGGTTATTCTGTACGACGTGTAAAAACGTAACCCCCGCTTTGACTATCAAAAAGAAGTGTATTGTAGAGCTTGCATCAATGTGGACTCGATGCGCTGTGCGCTGTAACTCCATGTGGCTTTAAGCGCATCATTCTCCACTCGGGATGCGCATAAGCGTTTTGTGCCACACTGTACTGAGCCTTTCATATCATAATGCAGTGACGCAATGACAGATTATTAATTGCCTTTCTTGTTCTGTTCCATCTATTATATGTTGATAATAGATAGGACAGAGCACTAAAAACCTCAAACAAAGCACTAAAAACTTAAGCTGTTTGCTGTGTAGTCTGAGAATGAGCTGTTTGATTTGCACCCTCTTCCTCTTCACTGTCCTCCATAAAAACCAGCTATCCAGGTCCATGTTGTTCTAGAAAGTTTGTATGTTGCTGCCTCAATTAACATCTCTGCTATACATTTAAAACATGGCTATATCTAAAATAATTTATCTTTTTGATTTTTGTTATCTTGTTTTTCATGAATATTTTACAACAATACAAAGAGCAATGTGTATTTTCC